ATCTTATATACATAATGGGTTATTTTAGTATATATCCTCTCTCTCTCTCTCTCTCTCTCTACACAAACACACTCAAACAAATTCATTCATGTTAGATAAACCACAATTAATGACATGACAGTATGTGTTTGGGTTGGCCACTTTGAAGTTATTAAGGCTATTCCCACCGAGAAACTCACCAAAGTAGCTCGTCAGTCTTTCTTCCTTCTACTTCACCTTCAACATTTCAATATCCCTCCAATTTTAGTAAACTGAGAACAATTCATTTCTCTGTTCTCATCAAACCAACCAACCATTCCGTCCATGTCCTGTACACTCACTTTTGGTTTTCTGATATAGCTATTGCACTATTTGGTCTCTTTATCTGTAGTTCTATTGTTCAAAAACTTACCAGCAAGGGCCCGATGTTATGGCCATTGATGTGTATAATTCCATCATTGTTTCTCCACATCAATGATGTCTATGATTGGAGTACCAAAGCTTTGATCAAAACCAATGGCACATTCCACTATAGAGGACAATGGATGGGTGGGGCTTATGGTATCATTACAACTGACCCTTCCAAGGTGGAGTACATGCTCAAGACAAGGTTCGACAACTTCCCAAAAGGTAAGTACTATAGAGAGAGGTTCTATGACTTGCTTGGTGATGGGATTTTCAATGCTGATGATGAATTGTGGAAGCAACAAAGGAAGGTGGCCACTTTTGTGATGCATTCAAGTCAGTTTGTTAAATTTTCCATGCAGACTGTTAAAGATTTGGTTCACGAGAAGCTGATCAAACTAATGGCAAAGGTGGTGAAGTCCAGAGATTGCATTGAATTGCAGGAACTTTTCTTGAGGTTTACATTTGATAATATATGTACAGTGGCATTCGGTGTTGATCCGGGGTGTTTATCACTGGATCTTCCTGATATTCCATTTGCTAAGGCTTTTGAGGAAGCCACTGAATTGACTATGTTCAGATTCACAACTCCTCCTTTTGTGTGGAAGACCATGAAGTTTTTGGGAGTTGGATTTGAGAAGCAGCTGAAAGAAGCAGTTCAATTTGTGCATGATTTTGCTGAGAAGACTGTGAGAGATAGGAAGATGGAATTAAGGATTTTCAATGGGTTAGACAATAGAGCTGATCTCTTGTCAAGGCTCATTACTATTGTTTGTTCAGATCATGAAGGAAAGAAAAATTATTTCTCTGATAACTTGCTTGAAGATTTCTGCATAAATTTCATTTTAGCAGGGAGAGATACTACTTCTGTGGCATTGGCATGGTTCTTTTGGTTGATCCATAAAAACCAGGAAGTGGAAAGTAAAATTCTCTATGAAATCAAAGAAATTATCGACTGTCGAAAGTTGAATACAGAAGAAAAGGATGACATAGTATTTACTGAACAAGAACTAAAGCAAATGGTGTATTTGCAGGCAGCAATATCAGAATCCTTAAGGCTATACCCTCCTGTGCCTGTGGACTTCAAAGAGGTTATGGAGGATGATGTGTTCTCTGATGGGACATTGGTCAAAAGGGGTGCTAGGGTTATATTTTCTGTTTTTTCAATGGCTCGAATTGAATCGATATGGGGGAAGGATTGCCTTGAGTTCAGGCCAGAAAGATGGATCAAGGAAGGTGAATTTTTGAACGAGAACCAGTTCAAATACCCGGTTTTTAACGGCGGTCCAAGGTTGTGTGTGGGGAAGAAGTTTGCTTACATGCAGATGAAAATGGTGGCTGCTTCAATTCTCTTGAGGTACTCAGTTAAGGTAGTTGAAGGTCATGAAGTTATTCCAAAGATGACAACTACACTTTACATGAAGCATGGGTTGTTAGTGACTTTGGAGCCTAGGTATAACCTGTATTAGGGTACATGGACGGTGGTCTGGTGGTGCAAAATATGATGGATGGAAACTAAGGAGATTAAGGAATTCAGGTGCTTGGTATTTTATAAGTTTGGATGTATTATTAACCTTAGCTTTTCATTAGAAAAGTGTTTAATTTCGACATGGTATAGTACTATTCCTAAAGAGACTAATTTTAATTCACATGGGTTGGGTTGAATAAGAAGCAAGACCGACAAACTTGTACGATTTGAGTTCGAGTTTCCTAGTTGTATATATTATATGTATTTAAACTATTCATATTGTTTGCTAGTGATTATGTGTATTTTATATTTGTGTTGCGTTCATAAGTCTAAAAAACACGTGATTAGAACGATTTCTTATTTAAATAATGGATACGTCTTTCAAAAGAATTACGTATTTTTTGAATAGTCTTGGACTTCTTAATCTAAGATAATGGTGCATTTTTTTCAAAGTGAAGCTTTAAAAATGAAAGCAGCTATGAAGATTGAAGAGCATGGTCTGGTATCAACCTTACCATCATATTCAAGCAAGGCATGCCTGCCCATCCACACAGGTCAAAATTCAGAAACTCAGCCATGACTCCTACAAGGAAGACCTTTCTTTGGTAAGCAAACCATATTATGGACAGCTGAGCTATCATGCATTTCGGGTGGTTTAAAGGACGAATTTATGGTGGGTAATGTGAGTGGAATAATGCTGTGAATACCAACAAATTTATCAAATTTTAAATATTAAATGATGTGACGTATTGACTATATTTGATAGATTAAAGTTAACGAGACTTATTTATCCAACCACAAATTTACCAAATTTCAAATTTCAAATAAAAAATTGAGGCTGAGCATCATCTCAGTGTCACATCTCTATTTTTAGACTATTTTTTGGTCAATCTAAGGTTATCCATAGTCATATAAAAAGCACAAGAGTGTTCAAATTTTTGATTGGTCACAATTTTCTACTCTATCTGATCCTATCATACCCTACTAAACGACTAGCCGCAAAAATTGAGTAGATATGTGGAAGAGTTTTTAGTCTTCCAATTAAATCGAGTAGAAATACAGAATACCCATCAATTTTTATATTTGTACCCTACCCTACCCGCTTTAATTAATTAATATATAAACTTAAAAAACCCTAATTGCTAACTTATAAGAAATGTGTTATTTAATTTTTTTATATTTTTTTAGTAATTATAAGAGTATTTTTGTGATATAATTTATAGTATAACATTGTTATTGTTGTGGATGTTTGAGTTGCTAAAACATGAATTTGTTTTTTGTGTAGATTACATGATTTGTGGTAAACTGATGATCTATTGGAGCAATTATGATTTTAATGTGTTTTATATGGTTTAAAATTTAAATAATTGTTATTGTACTCCTGTAACAATTATAATGAATTAATGTTTATATTTTCTTGTGTTTTATTGTAATTGTTGTTATAGTTGTTTTAAGTTTTAATGTTATTGATTTATTGTGTTATTAAATTGGTGTATGTTATTTAATTGCATTGTTAAAATGATTTAAAAATTAATAGCTACAAAAGTGTTTACCCAACTTCCTACCCAATTAATCGGGTAAGAAGTTGAGTAAGAATATCACACCTGATTTGGTAGGGTAGGCTAAGAAAAAAATATTTCGTATAATATCGGGTAGAAAAATAAAAAACTATATTTTTTGCTCGAAGAGTAGAGTAAACATCCCTTAAAAAACATTACCCCTAGTTGCAATATAGTCTGATTTAAAATGAGTACAAGTAGGGTCACTCTTGTCAAAAAAATTAAAGAAGAATTATATTTAGATTTCTTGAAATTTGTCACTTAATCACTTAAATATCTTAATATTTAAAATATTACATACCGACTCCTTAAAAGTTTATATCCGCATAACACTTAGAACCATCAATATTTATTAGTATATATATTAGTAAATTATACTTAAACCCTCTGAAATTTATAAACGTATAACACTTAAATCTCTAAAGTTGAAAATATTATACTTAAACCTCTTTTTAGTTATGAAACTAATAGAATCTATTAAATGATCAAATTACTCTAATTAAAGATATAAGATATTGTGTCTATTATAGTTTAACCCCTTATTTAGTTTTTTAATTTTATTCCAATAGCTAGTATAATTGTATATTAAATATATTTTAAAAAAAAATTAAATTTTGAATTTTATTTTTATTTCATTAAATGAGATAATAAAACATGAATTTTGGTTATAAAATCTAAAATATTTGATATTCTATCTATGATTAGAATATTCTTGGTCTAAGTGTAATATTTTAAACTTGAGAGGTCTAAATATTACATGTCTGTAAACTTTAAGGAATTTCGGTATAATTTACTAGCGGATATACTAACGATAAGGGTCGGTTTAAGTGTTACGTGCATATAAACTTCAAGATGTTTGTGTGTATTATTTTAAATATTAGAGGATCCAAGTGATTAAGTGATAAATCTCGAGAGATGTGAATGTAATTCTCTCAAAAATTAATTAAACTTTTTGAAGGGATAAAAAAAAATTAGGTCCAGATTCTCTCAAATACATTTTTTCTCTAATATTTTTCTTAACGAATCATTTGTTATTAACAAGTGAGACTCATTTGTATACAATAAATCTTATTTAAATACATGATAGATGATTTACCATGAATAAAATTAAGGAGACAATGTATCAACTCCTTAGACTATAATCCCGTTTGTGCATGGCATCCTTTCTACCCAATAAATTACACTACCGACTTCTAAATTTAGTGACAGCCTCTTGTTTATGCCCGACAGGCTAGTGCTTGGAATGGTGGGTGGGATTTCTCATAGGTAAATAGCCCACGGCCCAAAGGGCTTCTCAATTCAAGACAACCCACCTAGCTGAGTGGTAGCTCAGTCTGCCATACAACAATCCGCGATGGACCATTGTCACGATTGTAAGGCTATGGGCCTTGGCACTAAGAGATGGGTGGCCCGTTTTGTCCAAAAAAGAAAAAGAAAAAGAAAAGATCATGGGGATAGGGGTGTAATTGTAAGAAAAAGAGTTAATTGAAGGGTACTTATAAGAATTTCAAGATATATAGGGGCCTTAAAAGCAATATTTTTTACTTTTGGTTAACTTATTAGGATTTGTACAATCACCCTCTTTCTTCATTTCTTTTGCCCCAAGCCTTCTCCATTTTTGCGAAGTCCCCAACTCCCAAGCCTGCCTCTCTCTCTCTGAACTTCGCCTGTTTAGTTCATCGATCAGTCCTGCACTCTTCGGCTTTTCACTTCCGTAAGTATATCTACAGAGGGTAGTGCGTTTAATGGTAATAAAATGAAGTAAATTCTGAAGATTTCCCCAATCTTCAACTTGTATCGAAGCATCAATTCAAAAGGCCTAAATCAAATTTATGTCTTTCTACTAGGGTTCCTTACGCGAATTTTTTAGATAAGGTTCTACAAGAAATTATTAGGTCTTAATGGAAGCTTTGTTGATATTTCAATATGAGCAGGTCCATTGCTATTTAAAGATGTCTAAGGTAGCAGTAGATATTCCTCCAAAGGGTGGATTCAGTTTCGATTTGTGTAGGAGGAATGAAATGCTAACGAAGAAAGGTGCTCAGAGTCCGTCGTTTCTCAAGACTGGGACTACCATTGTCGGTCTCATTTTCCAGGTATGTGATTTGTTTTTACTCCTTTTTGTCTATAAAAGTTACCTACTTCATTGTTTAATCTGAGAAAAGTTATGAAATCATTACCTTGTTAAAATGATAATTGTCAGGCATTCATATTAATTGGAAGTCGTAAGATTGGCTTGTTGCATCTGGGTAATTGAACAATTTTAGCAGAAAAAACAGTTATGCAATTTGTTGGCCATGTTATGCTCTTTAATTATTTAGTTATTTATTTATATTCACTAATAATGATACATATTATATTTAACTGTCTGTTGGTGTTTAAAGTGCCTATTGGCAATTTGTTTCAAAAGTCACTTAACCTAATGGTAACAACCTTTCTTGAGCAATTACACGAAGAGTCGCAACTCTTCTGAAGAGGTGTACGAAACACTATAAATATGGGTTTCTATATTTGGCCAAATAGTATGAATGCAGTTGTTATTTTCTTAATCTTATTATCCTATGTGCTTGAGTTTGATTTCCGGAGTTTTATTGGGGTTGAGTTTTGGAACCAAGACTACAAAGAAAGGCAGACATAGGTAGTCTTAAATGTTAGGCATTATATCCAGAGATAGAATTTGTATGAGTCCATCTACATTATAGTGTGGAAATTATTATCTCTAAGATAGCATTTGACCTGGATTGCCTGACCACTTTTCTACTATGTTTCATATTTTTATTATCTCTTCTACTTTTGATTTCTTGTACCACCAGTTTACCCACAACAGGCAGGGGACTGTTGACTCCTAAACTAATGCTAAAGATTACTTGACATGGGGAAAAGGGAATAAAAATTCCACATCTTGCATATTGAAATGCGAGCAGGGACACTTCTAACAAATTAACATGGCGTGCCCATATAGACTTCGTCTTCTCTTATGTGCCCCAAAGTATACCAGCTCAATGTCCACAATCCTTTGGCAAAACATTGACACTTTTTAGACATTTGATGACCTGTTATTATCACAGCTGGGAAATTTGACAAATACTATCTTATTATACCATGGTGAAGTATATTATTTTTATACTATTAATTTGAAGTTTTACTTAAATATACTGACAACAGAACAGAAGTCGCATGAATGTCTTTTTGAAGAAGGTTTTGGAGGATGAGAATAATTATTCTACTAGTACTTGTTTGCTTCGGTTCCACCAGTCTAGAAATTATATTAGATTATTAAATGTTTATGAAATCTGCTATATATAAATGTGTGTGTCGGCGCTGTCCATTTCTCCATTCTTGATTTAGGAAATGGTGGATTTGACAATATAATAGGAATAGTATGGTCTAGAAGTAGTAGAGAAAAAAATTTCCAGTGAAAGAAGTACAAGCAAAATAACACCAAGATCCTGCTTGAGTTACATTGGCAATAAGTACTTCGACCATTTTCTTCTATTTTCCACTAAATAAGCTTGCCCCATGAGTTTATTTATCTTTGCTTCATTGGCGGTTACATAGTTTCTCTGTTTATCCTATGGAAACCAATCATAGAAGTTTACAGTTATCCTTTGGAAAACAGCACCTAGATCATCTGGTTGTCAATGAGGCACACATGCCTATCTCTTCCTGCAACACAGAGATGGACCCCTCCAAAAACCCCCAGTGCTTACCCACAGTACTAGAGAAAGTTAACCGGAGCAGATAAATGTTACAAATGTTCGACCTGAAGAACGATCAAATGGACGTTTTTTCCTTTCAGGTTAATGGCTGAGATGGTTCAATGTATAGTTCATTCTGGTTAAATAGCATTGCTTTTATGTATTCCCTTGCTGATTTTTCCTTCATCAACTCTTCAGAATGAAGTCAATATACTTTGTGAGAAACTTATTAACTCATCTTTGTAATTCCAGGATGGTGTAATTCTTGGAGCAGATACACGAGCCACTGAGGGCCCCATTGTTGCTGATAAGAATTGCGAGAAAATTCATTATATGGCACCAAATATATATTGCTGTGGAGCTGGAACTGCAGCTGATACAGAAGCGGTGACTGGTATCTTTCTCGATTTTTGTGTCCTATTTGATGGCTATTTAATGTGGTGTCATGCACTAGAATACGAGAATGTAGAGAAGAGGTAGGAGCAAGAGTGTGAGAAAATAAATTTCTAAAGAACACGCACACACACATATTTTTTGGAGCGCACTCTGTAGTGTCAATACATGCAGAAGATAGTTATGTACACATAGAATGTATGTATATAAATGACAGTAGTATATGACAAAATTCATGTAGCTTAATAGAGAGAGTATATATACTAAATCTGTGGTGAGGGTTTGACTCTCACCAACATGCTCACACATTTTTTGGCTTCCAGAATTGTGTTCACATTGACGTGATCAAACCAATAAACTTGTGAAGATTGCCTTGTTTCTTTGAATCCGCATGCTAGAGAGCAGTTTCCTCCTCCATATATCGACGTAATATCTTAGGTTGCGTTTGGTAACTCATTGTTTTTGTTTTCTTTTTTAATTTTTGCCAAAAAAATTAATGTAAATGTGTTTGTGATATGTTTCTTTTTTCTTTTTAGAAACTTTGTTTTAAAAATAAGGCCAAAAAATAAAAACACAAAAAAAGCGTTTTCATAAACACCTAAAAACCAAAATACACGTGGGAGCTTCAATGGGATCTAATGAGATCCTGGCTTCAATTCTCCTTGGCAACAAAGAAATAAATTTTCTTGCTTAAATATAAAAATCCCCCTTCCCCCTTCCCTCTTTTACTTTTTTTTTTTCTAGCTCCCTCTCTCAGTTTCTCTCTCTCTCTCTCCGCCCCTCTCTTGCCTTTTTCTCTGTCGCTTTTCTCTGATTTTTTTTGTGGTTGGCTTATGGGTTTTCAAGAGTTGAGTGGTTGGTGATGGTGGGTTTTGTAGGGTGTTTGAGTGGTGGGTTTTAGGGGTTGGTGGTGGTGGTGGGTGGTGGAGTTGGGTGGTGGGTTTCGAGGGTTGTTGGTGGTGGGTTTTGGGGTTGTTGGTGGTGGGTTTCGGTAGGGTTGGGTGGTAGGTTTTGCACGGGGATTGGGTGGTAGGTTTGGGTGGTGGGTTTTGGTGGTTGGTGGTGGTGGGTTTCGGTGAGGTTGGTTGGTGGGTTTTGCAGAGGGTTGGGTGGTGGGTTTTGGTGGTGTTGCATGGTTGGTGGTTTTGGGTGATGGATTTTCGGTATAATGCGAAACATGCTTTTTATTTTTGGCTTTATAATTTTTTAAATATTAATGACTACCGAACATATTTTATATCTTCAATTTTTATCACAGAAAAAATAAAAATTATTTCTGTTTTTTTTATAAAAAAAAACATAATAATGAAAATGTTAACAAAAACACCCTTAATTTATGCCTTTTACATTTGTTTTTCTATGTTATGTTTTAATAATCTGCTGAGACCCTTAAATATCCATTTTACTATCTTGTATTGCAAATTTGCTATCATCATTGTCCTTTTAGACATGGTCAGTTCCCAGCTGCAGCTACACCGCTATCACACTGGTCGTGAATCAAGAGTCGTGACAGCTCTTACAATGCTGAAATCACATCTTTTTAAGTAAGCATTTATTTTTTGAGGTGGTCGTCTCCAAAAAAGTTCATTTTTTCATGTCTAAGCAGATAATTTTAAAAAGCTCGATTATTTTGTTACTTAATTAGCTACCAAGGTCATGTGCAAGCTGCTTTGGTGCTTGGTGGAGTTGATGTCACGGGCCCACATTTGCACACTGTGAGTTATTTGCTTACAGACATCTCTTGTTCCGTTTTCTCTCAGAAAGTGCTGACCGTTGTTGTTAAATGGATATCACAGATCTACCCTCATGGATCTACGGACACTCTTCCATTTGCTACGATGGGATCTGGTTCCCTCGCTGCGATGGCCATCTTTGAATCAAAATACCATGAAGGGCTGAGTGTAAGTTCCTTTACTACAGTTGTAAGAAGTGCTGGGACATTGGAAAACTTGACCAATCTAACTTCTTTTTTTTTGGTAAATAANTTTTCTAGCTCCCTCTCTCAGTTTCTCTCTCTCTCTCTCCGCCCCTCTCTTGCCTTTTTCTCTGTCGCTTTTCTCTGATTTTTTTTGTGGTTGGCTTATGGGTTTTCAAGAGTTGAGTGGTTGGTGATGGTGGGTTTTGTAGGGTGTTTGAGTGGTGGGTTTTAGGGGTTGGTGGTGGTGGTGGGTGGTGGAGTTGGGTGGTGGGTTTCGAGGGTTGTTGGTGGTGGGTTTTGGGGTTGTTGGTGGTTAGGGTTGGGTGGTAGGTTTTGCACGGGGATTGGGTGGTAGGTTTGGGTGGTGGGTTTTGGTGGTTGGTGGTGGTGGGTTTCGGTGAGGTTGGTTGGTGGGTTTTGCAGAGGGTTGGGTGGTGGGTTTTGGTGGTGTTGCATGGTTGGTGGTTTTGGGTGATGGATTTTTGGTATAATGCGAAACATGCTTTTTATTTTTGGCTTTATAATTTTTTAAATATTAATGACTACCAAACATATTTTATATCTTCAATTTTTATCACAGAAAAAATAAAAATTATTTCTGTTTTTTTTATAAAAAAAAACATAATAATGAAAATGTTAACAAAAACACCCTTAATTTATGCCTTTTACATTTGTTTTTCTATGTTATGTTTTAATAATCTGCTGAGACCCTTAAATATCCATTTTACTATCTTGTATTGCAAATTTGCTATCATCATTGTCCTTTTAGACATGGTCAGTTCCCAGCTGCAGCTACACCGCTATCACACTGGTCGTGAATCAAGAGTCGTGACAGCTCTTACAATGCTGAAATCACATCTTTTTAAGTAAGCATTTATTTTTTGAGGTGGTTGTCTCCAAAAAAGTTCATTTTTTCATGTCTAAGCAGATAATTTTAAAAAGCTCGATTATTTTGTTACTTAATTAGCTACCAAGGTCATGTGCAAGCTGCTTTGGTGCTTGGTGGAGTTGATGTCACGGGCCCACATTTGCACACTGTGAGTTATTTGCTTACAGACATCTCTTGTTCCGTTTTCTATCAGAAAGTGCTGACCGTTGTTGTTAAATGGATATCACAGATCTACCCTCATGGATCTACGGACACTCTTCCATTTGCTACGATGGGATCTGGTTCCCTCGCTGCGATGGCCATCTTTGAATCAAAATACCATGAAGGGCTGAGTGTAAGTTCCTTTACTACAGTTGTAAGAAGTGCTGGGACATTGGAAAACTTGACCAATCTAACTTCTTTTTTTTTGGTAAATAACACTGAATTTTTATGACCAATCTAACTTCTCTCTGAGCGTCTCTTTTTTTCTCTCTATTTTTGTTTTTCTCCTGCTGTTGAACATGGCATAAATGTAGTTCTTAAGACTAGCGTGAACTAGTTGTATGGCACATGTTCGTGTTAATTAATTGTCCATTTTCTTGTCATTTCTTTTTTGGTTTTGACAGAGAGATGAAGGAATAAAGCTCGTTGCCGAGGCTATCTGCTCAGGCATATTTAATGACTTGGGAAGTGGAAGCAATGTGGATATTTGTGTGATAACTAAGGTTGGTTCTTTCCAGCAACTCTAGAAAGAATGAGAAATTTGCACACAGTATTCATATAATTCGTACATAAATTTTTGTGAGTAGTTCCTTTTAAACTTCTTTTGACCATGTTGGCTTGTCCAGGGGCACAAGGATTACCTGAGAAACCACATGTTGCCAAATCCTCGCACTTATGTCAGTTCACAAGGTTATACATTTCCTAAGAAGACAGGTTAGTATGCCCCTCCTCAACATCACTATATGCATTTTAGAAGTCATAGCAATTGTATTTTTTGCTAGATTTATCATGTTCTTCTATGATTCTGCATCTAAACATATCATATGGCTGCTTTGATTTTTATTTTTTTTCTCTTTCTTTTAAAAAGAAGACAAACATTAATTCCCTTGATATCATTCACTTGGAGCAAACCTTGTTATGATTCTGCATCTAAACATTAATTCTTTGTTCATTGATACCTCATAATTGCAAGGCATGAATATTATGAGCTCGTATGTTCTAGGTTAGGGAATGGTTATGGTATCTCCTTCGGTAATAATGATATGTCATTATTGATAGGTCAAGTTACACTTCTGAAATGTTAAGTTACAACTGATTGAAGTTTTTTCTTTTATATCGATCACAACATTATTCTAACTGATTGAGGTTACTTGTGGTCGATGATGAAATGTTGTGGTCGATCACGAATAGTTTTAACTTGTCCTTTGCAAGGTGCAACTCAACCCTCAAGAGCAATTTTTGGTACGGTGCTGCAAATTAACTTTTTGGTAACTTGTTCATTTCCTTGGGGTTAAGGAAGTAATTTTATCACGGATGATATTATTACATAAATGGATAACAAACACTCCTGGAGAAATTCAATCATTGGAAGCTAACAAACACTTCTACGTCGGATTAATGATGTGGATCACCAAGGGCTTGGAAGATTATATGTTCATGAGTTGATTTTAGTTGCTAAGCATTAAGATTAGATCATTATGCACTTTTGCTTAAAGTGTTAAATATTGTAACTGCATATAGATAAACTTGTGTAATCCACATCTTCCTTCCTTCCCTTCCTTCTCCCCACTTTTCTCTTAATTCTCTCTTAATATTGTCCTGCATCAACTAAGTACTGCATTTCCTGGATGTTGATACCATTAATATGCTAGTTGCCAGTTCTTTGAAAGACTTTACTATTATACGTGGACCGAAAACAAATAAAGCTCCCCTCTATATTCTGCCTACAAATGGATCCATTCCTTGTGGGGATGCCATGTCTTTCTGTTGCTTATGTTCTGGTATGGTTGCAGAGGTTCTGCTGACAAAGATTACACCTTTGAGAGAGATGGTGGAAGTAACTGAAGGCGGAGATGCGATGGAAGAATGAGTCGTGACTTTTGAATCAAGAAATTTCACATCTACTACTTGATGTTTCATCTTGTATTCGGAGTATACAGTCTGGCATTCGATAGTTTTTTATTTTATTTTATTTTATTTGCAATCAATATTCCTTAAGATTGTTATACTACCTGTTCCTAAGTTGGTATGAGATTGTTTGGTGGTGCTACCTCATAATGTGGGTGTGAAATGTGTGCCAGTACTTGACAAAACTGAACAATCAGATTGGCTTTGCAGGAAAGTTAGAATCAGTTTTAATGACTGATTTTCCTTATGGACTAGGCAGTCTATTTTCTTAAAGAAATGTGTCACTAAACTATTTATATAGTTAGTTGCTAAAAAAAAAAGGGAAAAAATTCCTTTCTTTAGCCACAAACTCAACTCTAGCATTTTCATATTTCTTCTTGGTAATATTTTATTCTTTTATTAAAGGACATTTATAGGTTTTAAGAGGAATGAGTTGTGGATCAAGATGCCCTAGAACAAGTTGTAGATCGAGATGCCTGGGAATAAGTTGTAAATTGAGATGCTCTGAATTTGAATTTTGATAATTTTTTGGGATTAGGTTATGAAAGATTTATTTTTTAATGAATATTTTAATTTTGATGTGGATAGTTTGTGTCTGATTGGATAGGGGTGGGGAGTAGTTGAGATACACATAAGTTGGTCTGAACATTCTTATTGTTAAATTAAAAAAAAAAATATAGGTTTTGATATCAAAATTGTTGTATCAGGCAGGAAGCTTGTAAACTATTTTAAGTGATGGTCATCGGATTAGAACCTGAAGTTATTATGATAAAACATCTATTTACTTGTAGTTATGTAAACATTTGTTTAGGTGCCTTTTTTTTTAATATTCAATTTTTATAATATTGTGAATTTGACAATATATTCCTTTTTACATACTTATTTTCTAATTTATTATTACTTGTATGAGAGCATGGCTTAAATAAAACTCTTTTTAATATGAAATCTTGTTTGTAATCACACTTTCTATAGAAAACTTTGGAAAAAGTGTTTTGCAAATATGTTTTTACATTGAAAAATAGAAAATATAATGACTTTACACCACACTTGATTAAATAATTATAAAGTTATAAAAAAGTTGAAAATCACGATACTCGGGTTGGATAATTTAGGCCCAATAAAAGGTAGGTTGCATAAGTTGGGCCATCGGTGGAAAGCTTGTGGCCAGCTCAATTTGAACCTACAACAAGTGGGTGGGCTCTGATGTATTCTTGTACGACACTAACTTGTTTTTATTTGAATAAATTACACTTTGTCCCTTTCAACTTAGGGGTCTGTTCCAATCTACCGTGTGGTTTCCGGTGCAATAAGAGGGGAAAAAAAAATAGAGAGAGAGAGTCTGGTTGGTAGCTATTGATCTTCCTTCTGTCTTTGTAAATTCTTTTCAGAGTCGGACTTCTCAAAGGTACGAGACTTCCTCTCTCTCTCTCTCATACATCACCGATTTGCCTCACTTTATCTCAATCTTTACCTAAAATATACTGCTTGAAGCAATCGCAATTACCAATCAACTCTTATATCAAACCTGTTTATCTTTTCTTCTTCGAATTCAAACTTAGGGTTTCTCTTTCCTCAAAATTAATTCTGTGCGTAATTACCGAATTGCTTGATTGTGATTTCGTTAATTGTTCTTGATTCGTCATTGAATTCGAGATGTGTAAGCTTGATCAGTTATAGCAAGTCTTCTGTGTGTGTCTGTGTGTGGGCGTGTTTGTGTATCTATAAGTAAATGGCGAGCGCGGGTGAAGAAGAGAACGACGCCGTGTTGAGCGATGTCGAAGCCGACGATGCGGTGCATAGTGATATCAGGAGTCCATCGCCGGAAGATGTGACCGCAGAGAAATTCCAAGAACTTTTTGCCGAGCTTGATCGCGAGCGCAGAGCGCGCGAAGTAGCCGAGAATTCGAAATCGGAATTGCAAGTGTCTTTTAATCGATTGAAAGTTCTCGCCCACGAAGCAATCAAAAAGCGAGACGAGACTACGAGGCAACGAGATGAAGCTTTGCACGAAAAAGAGGAAGCTTTGAAATCAAACGAAAAATTATCAGCAGATTTAGCTGAAATAAGTAAGCTAAAAGATGAGATTTTGAAGCAAAGAGATGAGTTAGCGAAGCAATATGAGGAAACAGTGAAGGCAAAGGACTCATCCAGGTCGGAGATCGAAACAGCGGCTCAGATGTTAGTGTCTGGAACCGAAAAAATATCAGGAAAAGTGAGTAGTTATAAGAATTTCGTGGGGACTGGACTGCCGAGATCTCAGAAGTATTCGGGCTTGCCGGCTGTGGCTTATGGAGTGATTAAGAGGATTAATGAGATAGTTGAAGAGCTTTTAAGACAGATTGATTCCACTGCAAAGTCGAGGAATGAGGCTCGGGAACTGATGGAGCAGCGGAATTATGAGATTGCAATTGAAGTTTCACAACTTGAGGCCACAATTAGTGGGTTAAGAGAAGAGGTGGGAAAGAAAAGTTCAGTTATTGAGAATTTGGAAAAATGTATAGCTGAAAAGGATGGGAAGATTTCCGAAATTGAAAAGGAGATGCTCGAGAAACAAAATTTGGCAGAGAATGAAATTTCTGAATTGAGGCAATTGGTGAGTGAGTATGATGATAAGTTGAGGTGCTTGGAGTCTAAGATGGAGTTACAGAAGGAGTTAGTGCTTGATCAGTTAAACTATGTATCAAAAATACATGATAACATATATGATGTTATTAAGATTGTCGATGCTAACAAGTTGGACCATTCGGAGTTGTCAGAATCCTTGTTTCTCCCACAAGAAACGGATATGGAGGAGAACATACGTGCTTCTTTAGCAGGATTGGAATCTTTAAATGAATTAAGTAGAATTGTACTTGAAAAAACAAGGAATTTGGTGGACGAGAAGAATCGTGAGGTAAAAAGTTTAAATGAAACAGTTTCTCAGTTAGTCAAGGAGAAAGGACATGTTGGGTGTTTACTGAGAAGTGCTTTGTCAAAAAGAATGTCAGTGGATCTATCATCCAAAACAAATGAATTGTTTAAAGTTGCAGAAGATGGGTTAAGAGAGGCTGGGATAGATTTTAAATTCAGCAATCATCTTGTGGATGGCAAGGTTCCGACTTCTAATGATAAAACGGGTGAAGATAATGAAATATATGCTTTGGTCAGTGTTCTTCGTGTTGAATTTGTTTCTTTAATTTTCATTTTGTTTTTCCCTTGGCTTAGTTATCAATGTTCACCATGCAGGCTGGTGCTTTGGAGAGTATCATTAAGCAATCTCAAATTGAGATCATTGAGCTGCAGCATTCTGTAGATGAACTAAGGTACTTCCATTTCAACTAATATGTATTGGAATTTGAATGCCTATATATATTATTGCTTGTTCTTATTTCATCATAGTATAAGTAATAATATCAAATGGATAAGATAATCATTTAATAAAAGAAATCTCAAACCTGGGGTGTTACAAAAATCTTATATTTTAACAAGTAAGGACTTATGGCAGCCTAGAGAGCGGGTTTTAATTGGAAACTCTAATGGTAACATGATATAGCTCAGATGTTGTCACCCACTTCGAGTGTCATGAAAGAAGGAAGAATGATCATGACATGGTAGATGTTAAGGAAGAATGGTCATGACATGGCAGATTTTATGTTTTCTAAATTTTATATTTAATTAGCCTGTAAAGTGCAATATTTTAGTTGTTTATGATGGGGATATGAACAACCATTATAGCAAAGATACTTTGACGCTGGAGCTTTCAGCTTATTTTCAACATTATGTGTAGCTCATTTGCAAAAATATATACACATTTTACACACCCATAAACCTGGGAATGCTTATCTACAACACAACTACAGGATGTTATCGCTTTACCCATTTTTATTGGATTCCAAAAACCCCCACACCTAATCAGAATGAAGGCATTGTTAGTAATTACAAAGTAAAAATAAAAACGAAAATAGAAAATAAGCAAAGGCTGCCTAGGACGATCCATGCTCTTGATTGCTATGGTCTGTGTCTTCTTCTTTGGCACCTTTGACTGTGTTCATTGCTGGCAACCATGAAGTGAAAAGGGACGGGGAATTAGAGTTCGCCACTAATGGCAGTCACCAACACCGTTGATAGTGATAATCTTATTATCCTCGTCGTCATTTGGTTTGTATTGTTTAAATCATTATCTTTTTCACTCATAACCCCCCCCCCCCTCTTTGTCTCTCTCTCTCTCTCACACACACACACAAGCACACTAAGGCATGCACATAAAGTCAAATCTATTACTAGTGAAACCCATAAACTATCTTCAGCAAAAGCTGCCCAAAGGAATGCTGGTTTTCACTTTAGAGGATGAAGGCAATGGTGGTCAAAAAGTGGAAGTAGAGAACGTAGGACTTTAGGAGTTTTTGATGAGGGGATAAGGGATGATAAGGATAGAAACTAAATTTACGAAATTGTCCCCAATGAGGTTAAAAAAGAACAGAGCAAGATACGGGCATTTTAAGCCAATGTGCTACTAACCTACTATAGCCATGTAGTATGTTATCATTTTTGACACGCACACACACACACACACATAGATACGTATATATTTATTTTCCTTTTCCCATTTTTGGATAGGGGAGGAGCTGAATAAGTGAAATATTTTATCCCAAGTAAAAGACAAGAAAATAATCTCAACACACACTGTCACTGGGGCATGCAAGCCATCCCTTGATGGTACCATATCCACCCAAGAGTTTTGGCTTAGCATAAAAAAGGTGAGCAAGCTCTAAGGAGCCATGACAAACCAGTGAAACCACAAACCAATAGAAGATTTGAGGACCATGGCCAATCACGGCCTAAAATGGCCAACTTTTGTTGAACAGTCTTCGGGCATTTTGTAACAAGACCCAAATGCCCCAAGATTTGGCCTAAATACAACCAAGGAAGCAAACTATCTGATAAATCACGCACTCCCGAATCTAAACTTAAATTTTTAAGGCTCCTCTCATTGTCAAGTGTAAGTGGCAGCTGGACCAGATTACCATCACATATTATCCCAAAAAGTAAAGAAAATGTTTATATTTGTGAGGCATAAATTGTCACAGATACACCCATGCGGAACAAAAATGAATATAGAAATCAGAAATCTTGTCACAATTTGATTTTGGATGGTATCACGCATGCTGTTGAGAGAATCTAATACAAAGTGCGCATGTTGTCCATTTTGTTTGACCATGAATGAATTGAGTATCACAATCGGAATAAAATTAGACTTAATTGGACAAAGTGGCCTACTAAGCTGGCACACCACCCAAATTCTTTCTGCACACAATAAATTTAGTGAGAACCTTGCATATATTAATCTGTTTGAATATAACTGTGTTGTAATAGCTTTGGGCCTTTGCTGATTACTAGTGGTTTGGTTTTGCATGCTACTTTCCTGAATTAAGGGCAGAATCTAGTCTATTGAAGGAGCATGTGGAAGCTCAAGTCAAGGAGCTCAACCAGTGGAAGCAACGTGTGGAGGAGCTTGAAGAGAAGGAGAGAGTGGCAAATGAAAATGTAAGTTATTATTACATCCCCATAACACTTGGTTCTAAAAACGATGCTTTATGATTCCTCTTTTTTCATTTGGTTGGTTGTTTGATTCAGAGGTTTTTAAAATTGGGATCCTACTTTAGATTGATGAGGAAGACTATAGAATGAGCATTCAGGATTGTGGAATCGAATTGAGAATCGTAAGATCCTACAAATTCAAAAAATGAGACAAAAAATATATGCAACCCTAGTTTATATGCAAATCGGAGTGTTGTAAAAAACATAAAACTTAGAGATATGATTTAAATTTGAGAAACTATAATCTGAGACTCTAAGCATTGAAGATGGTTAAAAATGAAGGCAAATCGTTAAACATGTGGGATATTGTGAGGAGGAGTAAGAAAATTGAAGTATTGTGTTTTTAGCTCTTAGAAAAAACGGATGTAAAGAAAAGACTGGAAAGTTGAGAGGTTGTTGATTAAACAGTTTTATTGGTTCAACATCTAAACAAAAAATAGACAAGAGTGAAATGGAAGACTATTTGGCAATTATTACTCGTGAGATTAAATCTAACTGTTGTTTTTAATTTTCAACAATATAATCACATTTGGATTGAGTCTTAAAATATCAAAACGAGAAATATAAATTGAATCAACTTAATAGCTTAATGCGCCTAACAAACAAACCTAATAACTAGGATCGGTAAATTCGTAATTCGGATCGGGATTCTATGATCCCATAAGACCCGAATCATACTTCATTAAGATCTTTTTAATTTGGGATTCTATAAGAGAGTCGGATTGAATTGTATGCTCCGGATCATACGGCCGTAAGATCCTAAGATTCGAATTATTAAAATAAAAGGAGGTCGGAACTGATATCCAGCCCTCCTAGGATCTATGAATTAGTAATTGCTCACATTTTGCAATGACTCTGATGATTTAGGTAGAAGGGCTTATGTTGGACATTGCTGCTGCTGAAGAAGAAATTACAAGATGGAAGGGTGCTGCTGAGCAAGAAGCAGCTGCAGGCAAAGCTGTTGAACAGGAGTTTGTTGCACAGGTATGCTTAAAAATTGGCTGTGAACCCTTATTAGCCTGATTTTTGAGTGTGATTGTGCCGAATACTGATCTCTGTACTTCTTATGTCTTGATTAAATTTGTGACGCAATTAATTTGGTTGCTGGATTACTTACCATGGTTTTTAAGGCACGTGTTGTCTTGAAGAGATGTGTACCTTTTTGGACACCAGGCGATAACTAAGCATGTTTCTTAAAGACAATTTTCTTCGGGTAACTAATTAAAAGACACTTCATGTTACTATATGACTAATCTGGCAGCTTTCTTTCAGGCAAAATAATAGAGAATAGATGCCAAGAACTCCATTTAGAAATTATTTTTTGGTTTTAGTATTAGAGGACACAGGTGATGGAATTTTCCATCAATTTATGTGGGAGTTCAGTTGTTGGTTATTTATAATGGTGGAAAGCCCTGTGCGGGAAACACATGACATGGGCATGTTCTTCACCTATAGCGTAAAATGATAACTAGTGGTTAAAGAGAGATGGGACTGGATTAGATCTCTATGAGTAGGCTTGTACCAACCTACCTCTCTACCTCTATCAAATCATGCATAAAGAGGTTTAAGTTGTTTACTTGTTTTTCTGTTCTCTTTGTTCGAATGTTTGGTTGGTTGGTTGGAATAGGATTAGATTGGACAACAGAAAATGCTTGGAGGTGGGGGGCATTTCCACAAATATTAAGAGAGCTTAGGAAATTAGTTTCAAATTGGAGAGGGATCATGTGTTCGGAAGAAAACTCAGATTGAGTTTAAAAACGTTGAAAGCTTCAGTTGGTTACTTCTGGGTTCGAAAAACATAATCAAGATTAATTTGAACAAAATTGAAGACTAAAATGCAGTTTTATGGACGATATATAGTATGTCAAAATAACAGAAGGAACAAAATGTTGTCCTACTAAAAATATTTGGATTGATGTAGTGACTAGTAGGTTGCTTGGAAAATTATCAGAGAATTTGTGACACTATCTGATCAAAAAAAATTTGTGACACTGACATTTTGTCATTATACCCGCTGATGTGTAAATACTCCAGATAATACAGACTCCAGCTACATTGTGTTTTATCCCTCTTTCTCCTCCTTTAAGTGATCTCTTCTCACAGATTTTGCGTAATCATGTGTCTTTTACAATTTTTGCAGTTGGGAGCTGTACGCCAGGACCTCGAGGAGGCAAAGCAAGCAATAATTGAGTCCGAGAGAAAGCTGAAATTCAAAGAAGAAACAGCAGCTGCTGCTATGACAGCAAGAGACGCAGCTGAGAAATCATTGAGATTGGCAGATTTAAGGGCGTCTAGGCTGAGGGACAGGGTGGAAGAGCTAACTCATCAGCTTGAAGAACTTGATATCCGGGATACCTCAAGGACAGGCCTAAGCAGGCCTAGATATGTATGCTGGCCATGGCAATGGCTTGGGTTGGACTTCGTAGGTTCCCAACGCTCAGACATGCAACTAGAGAGTGCCAATGAAATGGAGCTTTCTGAACCTCTTCTCTGATCCCAATATTGTCTCCCTTTTTTTTGTTTCAAAATTTCTTCTTTGATTCCTCTCATGTATGTGTTTTCTTCTTTGAAAACCAAAGCGTTGCACAAATGTTAGGTGTAGAATTATCAAACCTCCCATATTTATACGCAAAGGTCAATGATCTTTTAAATTCAGTGTACACCTTTGGTGGTGGTGAGGCAAAGCGAATCTCGAGTTACGGTGTACAATCACTTGTTTGTGTGACCTGAACCCTCTGTTTTATACTTGTGATGTAGTTTTTTNTTTGGTGGTGGTGAGGCAAAGCGAATCTCGAGTTACGGTGTACAATCACTTGTTTGTGTGACCTGAACCCTCTGTTTTATACTTGTGATGTAGTTTTTTATTATACATGTTCAATTTACAGCTAAGTCAGCACCGTCTGCAAACAGGTCATCTATGTCAGGTTTTGCACCTATTTTGATTAATTTTTTCTCTACTTCAATCAGAAATAAGTTATCTATCTATGTTATGTCAGGACTAATAAGGTAAATTGTCATAAAAAATTGGATAATGATATTCAACAGCCAATGAACACGTAATTACAGGACTGCCACCTTGGAATCCATCCATAGAATAGCATATTGATCAAACTTTATTTTATCCCTTTGCAATTTGATTCATTTGCATATTACCTTCATCAAGTTCTAAAATAACACTCAACTTCTTTGTGGTTGTTGGGGGTGGCTAAATTGTCCGATTTAATGGTGATTGGTGGCTGCTGGAGTTATTTTGGGAAAGATAAATTGATGGGTATTAAGGTTATTTTAATGTAAAAGTTAATAGAGTTAATAATGCATTTTAGTCCAACAACTGCGAGGGGGTTACGTGCTATTTCAGAACCTGAGCAAGGTGATGTGTAAATAGGTAAAACCACAAGGGATAAAATGAAATTTGCCCTAGAATATTACGACTAGAAAAGAATTAAATCAAAATAAAATCAAAAAGTTAATGGGAGTATAAGTAAACTCAACCACGGTTTAAATCCCAACGACGTAAGCGTGGCCGAACAAATCCATTCGTTACCTTAATTAACTCATTGGACGGTACAGATGAGGCTCAAAAAGCTAATCCAACGACTCGCGAATGATAGGACGACAAATCCAGCCGTTTCGGACTCCACAAGCCTTAAGTTAAAACTCGCAACAGTAGGGTTACGAATTCCAATCTCTCTCTCTCTCTCTCTCTCTCTCTCTCACACACGGAATTCGATCGATTGGATGGAGATGGAATATGCGAGGGAGTTTCCGTACAACCACACGGATCGGCGACCTAGGAAGCGACCGAGGTTAGCATGGGACCTCTCGCATACTCCAAAGGTAATGTCCCATGATTATATTTCCTTGATCTCATTTTTTTGCCCCATATTTGTTTCTACGGAATAATTTTTCATTCAAAAAATATCAAGAAAAGCATGCGATCTCATGCTTGTCCAAATGTCTGGATTTACCAATAATTTTGCTGATGCCGAATTTTTTTTTTTTGTGGTGAATTTCTTCCCAGCAAATGACATTTTTACCGTTTTATCTTAAAATTTTACTGGGTATGAGCTCTAGATAGCTCAGAAAATAGCTTTTGTCACTCCGAAAGATTTATTTGCAGTCGTTTTTGTTCTTATATTTTAAATTTTTTAAGCCTTTGCTTGGGCTGGCAAGATTTAAGTTTCTGTTAATTGGGACTGAACAACTGAAATCGCCTTGATTCTGTTGCTTTGAATTGATGGAAATTTGTTAATATTTCGGGTCAGGTGTAAAAAGATAGAATTTTTTGGGGACCAGTTGAAGATTTACAGCAATGTAACTCTTAACTTTTTATTTAACCAAGTTGAACTTGATTGAAAATTGGGAATGAATAGGTGCTTCCAGAAAAACTGATCATCGGTAGGCCAAAACTCAAACTATTTTTCACCAGATAAATGTCAACAGAAAAAATTAACACAATTATTGGGCTTGACCCAATTAAAATTTGATGTGGGAGGCCACATAATGGTCAGCCAAGCTTAGTAACTCTGATACTTGTACAAGGGAATGTTTGTATCTTCCGTGGTCATAGACCGTTTGCCCTTTAATTTGTTACTTTAATAGTGGTGAATATGGAGTATGAATGAATGGTTGTGTGTAGGCCCAATCTGGAATAAATTATGGGCAAGTCCTCGGAAATGTGTCAAGCTTTGGACATTCAAGGGTACACTCGGATCATGCTAGTCTATTTGTGAAGGAACTGGCTCAAAAAGGCTCTCCACCATGGCGACATGATGACAAGGATGGACATTACATGTTTGAGCTTGGAGAGAATTTAACTTCTCACTGTAATTACACTTTTTTTTCATGTTGAAGACATTTTTAACTTTATGTGTGATGCATTCTATCTAGTCTTGATAAATGTTTAGGATGTTTTTTTTGTAGTCAATTTTTTTGTGTTGTATCTCCCTCCATTAGTTTATCCATTACGGGGCATACATTGTCCCCTATACGAGCATTTCTCCCTCCACCTTCCCCCCTTCCCTTCATCTGTCCCCCCCTCCCTTCCTTTTTTCCTGCCTCTTAGAAAGACCGATGCATCCTTCCTTGAGAGCAGGTATCTTTATTGGGGTTGTGAGATTGCCACGTTTTCCTCCATTTGGTTTATTCTTCTCTTAGTGGATGTGTGGAAATGTTTTATCTTATTCTGTTAAACAACTTATGTGGGAAAGTTAATTCTTGTTGGTTTTGGGTTTATTGATGTCAAATTCATGAAGTGTTCATCTCTGAGGTTTTTGGTTGCTATATTTGCAGATAAGATCCTCAGAAAAATTGGTGAAGGTTAGGTCTTCACTTCTTTTGTATGCTTTTTTCATNGGGTTTATTGATGTCAAATTCATGAAGTGTTCATCTCTGAGGTTTTTGGTTGCTATACTTGCAGATAAGATCCTCAGAAAAATTGGTGAAGGTTAGGTCTTCACTTCTTTTGTATGCTTTTTTCAGTGGGAATTCTAATCTGACATATTTTCTGAATATTTGTTTTTTCATGTCTCGATTTTTATTCTGCAGGTACCTTTGGTCAGGTTTTGGAATGCTGGGATAGAGAAGCGAAAGAGATGGTTGCAATTAAAATAGTCCGAAGTATTAAGAAGTATCGTGAAGCTGCAATGATAGAAATTGATGTTCTCCAATTGCTTGGAAGATATGATCGATATGGCAGTCGGTAAGTGTACTCTCCTCAATGTCCTCATACAGTATTGTAATGTTCTTTTGCTTTTAATTCATATAAAGGTGAACTGTGCATGGGTGGTTAAGTGAGTTTATTCTTTGCAGTTGTGTACAATTACGGAACTGGTTTGACTATCGTAATCATGTTTGTTTAGTAAGTATATGATTGATTCATGGTAACATGATTTCCCCACATTTACAGATTTCATGGGGGTTAAGACTTGTCAATGGATTTAAATGGTCTTAACAGGTATTTGAGAAGCTTGGACCAAGCTTATTCGATTTTCTTCGGAAAAACAATTATCGCTCATTTCCGGTTGATCTAGTCCGTGAGATTGGCAGACAACTGTTGGAATGTGTAGCATGTGTGTAGTCAATACTTCTGCCATTTCTCTAGTCTTTTTCATGCTTGATGGCAACCATTCTAGTAGGAGATACTCAAACCCTTTCCTTGTTATTTCTCTGGGAATTTTCTGGCGGTTTTCATTTTTTACTATGAAGTTTAAAGGTTCCACTTTTTTTTTGGCGGGAGTGATGTTACTACAGATGTTGGGGGTGGATTAATATTTTTATTTGCATTTCTATGGTTGCTTATGTTGGATTTGTACGCATTTGCAGTCATGCATGCAATGCACCTCATCCATACGGATTTGAAGCCTGAGAACATACTTTTTGTTTCTCCAGAGTATGTGAAAATACCCGACTACAAGGTACATTTTACATCTATTGTGAAGATCTCAATGATGCTCCTTGACTAATTTTTTAAGTGAGGAAATTCTAATGTAGGTTTTCAGGTTTTGAGTTTTTTTCTCAGCTTTCTGGTTAAGTTTTCC